CGTAACCGATCGGTGTACGTTCATAAACCTCGGGGGGTCCCAACTCCTGAGGTTCGAACCCCCCACTTGTTAGTTAGAATTCAAAGACTTTGAGCCACGGGCTCGCCATTCTGCCGGTTCCAATGGGCCATCTAGGGAGCTATAGCTCTATTGACCGTCTTTTCAAGAGCAAGATAGTTTCATTGTCGGCGGTGGATGTGGTGCCGCACCCGACAATATTTATAGATAGTGATAGTTATGTTAAAACGGGTGTACCAATGCAACCAACGTACCAGGGAAGAAGCGATGGGAGGGAATGGGTCCTCAGTCATAATGCCACCTGATTTCGACGATTTTTCCATCAACATACTATGTAGCGATAACTAAGCACCCTGTTTGTTTTGTTTAGCACCTTGTGTCCGGTGGCCTCGACTTCCTCGCCCACCACTTAGACTTCATCCGCACCTCCTCAGCCAGTGCAACTGTTGATCTGGATGAGACCTACGCCGAACCCTCGGAGACCCTGCCCAACACCATCGAGACTGCCTACGTGGCGAATCCATCCCTAATCTGGCGGCTTCTCAGTTTCGCCCTTCAATGTAGGCCATCCGTACCCACCAGCACAGAAGAAGCGACCGACCCCATTCGGTTGGCGGCCTGTTCAGCCTCTGCCTCCCTGCTGGCCAGTCTCAATCGCGACTACCGGCTACAACTGCTCTCCGCCTCCCTACGCTGGACCGTGTCCGTGCCCAAAACAACTGGGAAGAAGAGCGATGCTGGCGCCGTGCCTCCTGTTCTCACTGTGTTATTCCGCTTGGAAAGCGTGTTTAGGGTGCTTGAGAAGTAAGCCAGTCGTTTAATGTTTTGCCCTTCTGAATCGGTGAAGTCAGCGTGGGCTTCGTATCTATTTTTACGGCTCTTTTCTCTCCCAGACTTTCAGCCACCATCTCTCCTGAGGCCTTCATCGCTCTTGTGAAGAATGCCAACCTCATCAATTTGTTCGTTTCCTGTCTCTCACTTCTTTCTGCTCCACAAAAGTCCAAGGGTAAGCTCTTCCCTCTTTTGACTTTATTCAATTTTTTTGACATCCAAGTAATACCAGAGATTCCTTCCATATTTCTGCTGGAAGCTTCCGCAGATACTCTATTTATACATTTGAGCACATCTTTGAGGTAACTTCCAGCAGTCCTTCGCGGCAGACATTTCGTTGGCGTCAGAAAATTTAAAACAAAATCGATGAAAAAACGCGATCAGAACGATGGTTCTTTTTACCTTGTCTGTTTTCAACTACCGATTTTGAAGGCTTGTGTGGATCAAAAGCAGTTACTTGTTCTAACTGCAGGGATTCACTCACAGTCGGTTCTATCTCGGCTGTATTAACCGAAAATATAGTTTCTGTAAAACGCATCAAAGCACTTTTCTTAACCACAACGTCTTCGCTCTACGGCCAAATGAGAAAGCGGCACAATGGACACTATCGTGGATTTGAAAAATGGAAAGCCTGTATTTAGTCAGCACACAGCTGTAAGACTGAAACTATTTGTTTGTATACACATCAATAGATGCTTTCCACTGATCGTCTGGCAGAAAAAGTGACTGTTAAAGCAGCTTTAAAAAGGCAAGTTGGTGTCTGTCAAAGCTCAAAGAACCACGCCACGAGAGATCGGCAACCTGATGTCAGACAACCACTGCACTAAGGGAACACCAATTAGTTCTCCGTGCCCCCCTCTGTAGATGGGTATTAGCCTGACAAAATCCATATTCACGTAGTCCCCTTCGGGTTTGCGGTAGCTGGCTACCAGAAATGATCAGGCCCATCATCGCTTCATGGGATGAGGTGAGGCTACTGCGGCTTGCAGGTCTCCGTTTACACGTGTTGGTTCGCCAGTCCATATTTTGTCGAAAGGATTAAGTAAAAAGCCAGTGTGCTTTTTCTCCCCGCGACTTGTCACATATTGCAGTTTTTAGAAGTGGATTGAGTAATGTGGGATGCTTTGCTGATAGCTGGCGTGTATATTGGTGTGACCGAATAGGCACGTGTTCGTTTGCGTATAGCGCCAAGAGGCCGAGGCGCGCATATAGTAGTGGCTAAATATATTATTCTCTGCCTGAATGCTCTGGGACTATGTGCTCGTTTTTTAACTGGGACATTAGGTACTGTTTTTTTTCAGTCATGCTGCGACCTACCCAAGGGTAATCGATCAGGCCAATGCACTATTCGGATTTGTGGGCATAACTAGAACATGATGGCACTATGCGAGCACTGCTGGTGGTGGCTGCGGTGGCTGTCCTGACGACGTTGCCGCGGTGATTGGCATGAAGGTGTCCGGTCAGGTCAAACCGGAGCTGAATCTTAGTGTTACAATGTTGACACTTAGTAGGGTTGCCTTCACTTATGCCACTGGTGATGGTGTTGATTTTTAGTCATATGTGAGTTGCGTTAGTCTTGTTGTCATGACGCTGTTTCTGTCGTAGATAACCTAGGTAATTTAGGACCGTTTAAATTATTTGGCCGCGTACTTATGTTTACAGTGTGGACGATGACGACATTAGTCCACGGCATCTCATGTTTGCGTGATTTTTACTCCCTCTTTTCGAATGATTCCGAAAATTACTGCGCCAGTTTTTACACCAAGCTTGCTGATCCTGCAGGAGACGTCCCCAGTTTTCGTGGTCAGTATCTAGGCGCTTCAAAGACGTCTGGGATCTCTCTCTGTACTGTCGTGTTTGTCTATCTGGCCTGTGAGTATTCTTCGAGACAGTGGTTGCTTTGGCAGGCGATGTTAGGTCGACTAATAAGTGTTAGAGTTGCTTCAGCTTGGCACAGACGTCGAGCACGCCTGTTCTTTCCATTATACTTTCCTCCCAGTCAGCCTGCTTTTATGGTCATGATTAAGTTCTTCATCTCGCCGAGTTTTCATTGTGGTTGGTTTTCGGCCTCGCGTCATTGTGCACCTCTGTTAGCCTTTACTGCTCTTGCGTTCGGCATCAATCTCATACGACTCTATCCGCACCAGTCTTCTTGTTGACATTAGTTCATATCGGTGGACTCCATGTTTTTCCTTAGTTGTAGCTCTGTTGACGAAATATAATTTACGAACAGCTTTTG